CCATGGAGGGGAAAATGGGAATGATGCTATGGGGTAAAAAATGGGAATGATGCCATGGAGGGGAAAATGGGAATGATGCCATGGGGGGAAAAAATGGGAATGATGTCATGGGGGAAAAAAAAAGGGAATGATGCCATGGGGGGGAAAATGGGAATGATGCCATGGGGAAAAAAAAGGGAATGATGCCATGGAGGGGAAAATGGGAATGATGCCGTGGGAGGGAAAATGGGAATGATGCCATGGGGAAAAAAATGGGAATGATGCCGTGGAGGGGAAAATGGGAATGATGCCATGGGGGAAAAAATGGGAATGATGTCATGGAGGGGAAAATGGGAATGATGCCATGGGGTAAAAAAATGGGAATGATGTCATGGGGTGAAAAATGGGAATGATGCCATGGGGGAAAAAAAAGGAATGATGTCGTGGAGGGGAAAATGGGAATGATGCCATGGGGGGGAAAATGGGAATGATGCCATGGGGGGAAAAAATGGGAATGATGTCATGGAGGGGAAAATGGGAATGATGCCATGGGAGGGAAAATGGGAATGATGCCATGGGGGGAAAAAATGGGAATGATGTCATGGAGGGGAAAATGTTAATGATGCCATGGGAGGGAAAATGGGAATGATGTCATGGGGGAAAAAATGGGAATGATGCCATGGCGGGGAAAATGGGAATGATGCCATGGAGAGGTAAAAGGGGGGAATAATGCCATGGAGGGGAAAAAGGGGGAATGATGCTATGGAGGGAACAGCAGGGAATGACACCATGGAAGGATAAGATGAACATTCCAGGGATCCTCAGTATTTGGGATTTTTTTCTCCTTTGCCATTTGGTGTAGAAAGAGCTCAGATTGGACTCTGCTTTATCTCCACATTCCAGTTTAATCCCAATCCATGTCCTGTCTGTGTCCATCCCTGGCTGTTCCAGAAGGTGTAATTCCAGCCCTTGGACACTCTGTGCTGCACTGACCTTGTGAAGTTTTTGTCCCCAAATCCAGGATATTTAGGCAGGTCTCAACTCCAGGAAAATCAAGCAGAGCCTCCAAATTCAGGGAATTTACCTCCCTGATGCCAGGAAATTCAGGCAAACTCCCAACTCCAGGGAATTCAAGCAGATCCTCAAATCCAGGGAGTTTAGGCAGATCCCATCTCAAGAATTTAGCCACATCCCAACTCCAGGACACTCAGGCAGATTCCCAGTTTAGGCCAATCCCCAAATCTGGGAATTCAGGCAGACATTCCCAACTCCAGGAAATTCAACTAGAGTCCCCAAATCCAGGGAAATATAGATCCCTGATGCCAGGATATTCAGGTAGAGCCCCAACTCCAGGGAATTTAGACAGAGCCCAAATGCTAAGGAATTTGGGCATATCCCCAACTCCAAGAAACTCAGACCAATCCCAACTCCAAGACCATTTAGGCAGATTCCCAAATCCAGGGACTTTAGGCAGATCCCCTCAAATCCAGGGAATTCAGGCAAAGCCCCAACTCCAAGAAACTCAAGCCGATCCCAACTCCAGGGAATTTAAGAAGATTCCCAAATCAGGCCAATTCCCTAACTGCAGGATATTGAAGCAACCCCCCAAATCCAAGGAATCTCATGGCCTGGATGGATTCCAGGTGTGTCCTTAGATGAAATATTCCTCCTTTTCCCTGCTGGAATCCTCTGCTGGCAGAGCTGCCTCCACCTCCGGCTGCTCGTACGTGCGGTAGGAGCCGGAATTCCGGTACAGGTAGATCCCAATCACCACCAGCACCGTCAGCAAGGTCAGGAACACCAAGGTCAGCACCACTGCCAGGGGAGGGAAGCAGGATTTAGCCCTGGAATGTCGGGATCTGCTCCAGGTGGAGCTGGAAGGATCATCTCACCTGCGATGACGACGGTGTTGGTGTCCTCGGGGCCAGGGGAGGTGTGAGATTTCCGCAGGGATGGAGTGGTCAAGGCTTCCTCGGGAAGAAGAGAGGGAGAGGAGGATAAGGAAGAGCCTAGGGAAGGTGCAGCAGGTGGTGGTTCCAGGGAAAAGCATGGAAAAGTGGTGCCTGGTGCTCACCTGAGCTCAGGTGGGAATGAGGTTCTTCCATGGTGGTGGAGATTTCCGGGGGGAGGTTTGGGGTTGGTCAGAGCTGCCAGAAATAGGGATAAAAGGGATAAATTTCCCTGTTAATGCCCTGGAATCTGAGCTCAGGTGGAGCTGAGATTCCTCCATGGAACTGGATTCTCCCAGCTGGAGGTTTGGGATCTGCCAGAGCTGCCAAACCTGACCTTGAACCCACTTGACTTTAAACCCTCCAACTTCAATCCAGTTTTGCCTTGATCCAGTTTCACCTTAAACCAGTTTTATTTTAAACCAGTTTTGCTTTGAACTTTTCTGACTCTAAACTCTCTTCACTTTACACTAGTTTTGCTTTAGCTCTGACTTTAAACCCTCCAACTTCAATCCAGTTTTGTTTTGATCCAGTTTTGCTTTAAACCCTTTCTTGCTTTGAACCCATTTGACTTCAATCCCAGTTGGGCATCAAACCCGGTTTGACTTTAAACTCCCTTTTCCCAGGTGGTTCAAGAGCTATTCCCAAGGGAAACCCTCCCTCCCCTGCTGCTCTGATCCCAAAAAAACCTCCTTTGAGGAGTATTGGGGGTGCAGCACCAATTCCCATCCCAATTCCCATTCCCAGCAGATGGAGGATGGGATGAGCAAACCACCCCTGCAGGTCAGTTTGGGGGATGCTCAGGACTTTCTTCCAGCCTCCCATTCCCATTCCCATCCCCATCCCCATTCCTTTTCCCATTCCCTTTCGCATTCCCTTTCCCGTTCACTTTCCCATTCCTAATCCCACCTCCATCGCTATTCCCTGTAGATGGAGGATGGGATGAGCCAACCATCCCTGCAGGATGCTTGAGAGCACCTTCCAGTCCCCCCATCCCCATTCCCATCCCCATTCTCAGCAGATGGAGCACAGGATGACCAAACCCTCTCCGTATCCTCCTGACTCCCATTTTCCTCCCTCATCACCCTGGGATGATCCCCTAGGATCAGCCTTTGGCTCCCTCTGTTCCTCCCTCACCTTTCCTGCAGGATTCTCTGCTTTCTCCCTCTCTCCATGGCAAGATCCAACCTTTCCCCTTCCCCTCCCACCCCAAATCCAGCTGGAAACCCCCAACATTCCAACATCACCCCCCAGTGCAGCCACACTCAGTACCCCTCCGTCCGCTCCACATCCAGATCCATCCCCCATCCCCCTCCAAACCCCCAGGAACTGGGAATTCCAGGGGGGATATCCCAGGATCCACATTCCCCTCCTCCAGCCCTTACCTGCCGGCACCATGTGCTGCTCCAGGTGAAGGCGTAGCCTTTTTTTTTCCTGCCTCACCTTTCCAGTTGGGCTGGAATGAGGCTCAACCCCCAGGAATCCTCTTCCTTTAACCCCTCACTCCCTAAGGATCCAGCCCTTGGCACAGGGATAGTGATGGCAAACGGGGATTTGGGTGGAAATCGGGGAATTTGGGAACAAGGGGAGGGGAATATTGAGCTGCTTTGGGGGATTTTTTTTTCGGGCGAGGCCAAAACATTTTTACCGGAGCCGGTCGAACCGGTTTGACGCCTTTTCCATGAGTCACAGATGCCAGAGGGGAGGACACAGGGAGAGGGGGATGGACACAGCAGGACAAACCCCCCAACACTCCCAACCACCCTCAGTGGGACCCCCTGGATCCCACCCCCAATCCCAGATGGAGATTTGGGATCTCTGCCACCTTTTCCACCTTTATTTTGGTCCGGAAGCACATGATGGGGAAGGAATTTGGGAAGACCCGCGGGATCATGGAATGTTGAGGGGTTCAGGGGGGTCCTGGGTGGGGGATGCTGTGGGTGGGGGGTCCTGGCTCAGGCTCTGGATCGTATCCTGCTCTGGTGTCCAGGGACAATCCTGGGAGAGAGAGACACACACAGGAGTGACACTGTCCCCTCGTGATTCCTTGGAATTGTGTCCTTATGTCCCCCCTGGGGCATAGGGATGGGAATGAGTCCCCCTTGGATGGGTCAGGTGTATCCCACCCTTCATCCACCTGGATTGAGGAGCCAGAGGGGAAATGAGGGACAGAGAGGGACAGTTCCACCCCCTCCTGCAGTGCCACTCCAGGCTGGTTTGTCCCCATGTCCCTGCATCCCCTTATCCCCATATCCCTCCCAATCCAGGAATCCCCCCAGGGATCTCTCAACACATCCTCACCTGTGTTTTCCTCACCTTTGGCAGATCATCCTTGGTCTCTGGGCTGTCCCTGGTGCGGCTGAGCTGTCCCTGTCCCTGCCCATCCTGGAGGACACCGCTGTGGCCACTCAGACTAGGGGGCAGTGATCCCCCTGGCAGTGCCTGACCCTGCTCCGTGGTGGCCGTGGCTGTCCCCAACCCTGGGGAGGTGGTGGCAGCAGCCTGGGCCAGGGCCTCGGATAAAATCAGTGCTACCAGTGAGGTGGCAATGCCCTCGGGCCCTCCTTGTGCCTTGCTGGCACCTCCAGGCTCTGGGCAGTACTGGATGGAGGGGACAGCACCTGGATCTGCTGCTGTCACCTGCTCCAGGGATGAAGAATCATGACCAAGACCATGCTCTGGGGTCTCCTCACTGGACATTGACCCTGTCCCCACTGTCCCCTGCTCCAGGGATGAAGAATCATGACCAGGACCATGTTCTGGGACCTCCTCACTGGACATTGACCCTGTCCCCGCTGTCCCCTGCTCCAGGGATGAAGAATCATGACCAGGACCATGTTCTGGGACCTCCTCACTGGACATTGACCCTGTCCCCGCTGTCCCCTGCTCCAGGGATGAAGAATCATGACCAGGACCATGTTCTGGGACCTCCTCACTGGACATTGACCCTGTCCCCGCTGTCCCCTGCTCCAGGGATGAAGAATCATGACCAGGACCATGTTCTGGGACCTCCTCACTGGACATTGACCCTGTCCCCGCTGTCCCCTGCTCCAGGGATGAAGAATCATGACCAGGACCATGTTCTGGGACCTCCTCACTGGACACCGACACCGTGTCCAGGGACCCCCCACTGGCAGGGGAAGCAGGAGGTGGACCAGGAGGGACAGCCCCCAGGTCCCCGTTGGTTGTGGCATCGGTGGCAGCTCTGGCCCCACCAGGGAACAGAGGTGTCACCTCCGTGTCCACCACAGGTGCCTTGTCCGGGCAGGGGAACATTGCTGGAGGACTCACGGGGGAGGAGATGACCAGAGAGCGGCGGTTGCTGGAGGAAGGACAGAGGGAGAGGGTTAACCCCCACTTGGGTGTCCCCAAACATCCTTGGGGACAGGTGACACCTCAGTGTCACCATCCCAGGGTGCAGGTGACCATCCAACAGGACCCCAAAACCACCGAAAAACCTTCAAGCCACGTTTGGGTGAGTTCAGCCACCTCAGGGAGCCCCCCCTGGTGTTCCCCACCCCCTGGGAGCTTGGAAGGGACCCCCCAACAGTGTATTTTTGGGAGTGATTTGTCCCCTTGACCCCCCCAACCCCCCTGGGGTGTACCTGGGGACACCTTTGATGATGAACACCTTGCTGGAGTGTTGCTTCTCCAGTTTGCTCATCACCTCGTACAGGTCCCGGTTGAGCTGGAGGAGACACACAAAGAAACACCTCAGGGAGATCCTCCAGGTGTCACCCCATCATCTGGGGGGGTCAGAGGGGACCCCCCAACAGCTGGGGACACCCCATGACTCTGGTGGGTGGTGTTGAGGGGTGTTGAGGGGAGTGTTTTGGGGGGGTTGTCCCCACCTTGCTCATCTCCTTGTAGAAGACGTCGCGGAGGTTGGAGATGTTCTGGAAGATGGTCACGTAGCAGGCAATGCGGCTGAGAGGACACACATGAGAGGTTTGGGGGCGTCATCCCCATCCCATGGGGGGCTCTGGGTGCTGAGTGCCCACCCGGGCTGACCCTAACACTAGGAACCCCCTGACTGTCACACACACACTGTGGGTGATGTCCCCCATGGCCACCCATGTGTCCTCCATCTCCACAGTGTCCTTGTCCCTCAGCCCCTGAAGTGTCCCCAGACCCCCAATGTCCCCTGGACCCTTAATGTCCCCCAGATCCCATGATGTCCCTCAACCCCTGCAGTGTCCCCCAACTCCACAATGTTCTCCAGCTCCACAATGTCCCCCAGACCCCATGATGTCGCCCAACCCCATGGTATCCCCCAACCTCACGATGTCCTCCAGCCTCACAATGTCCTCCAACCCCATGATGTCCCTCAACCCCTCAGTATCCCCCAACCCCATGATGTTCTCCAGCCCCACAATGTCCCCAGACCCCGTGATGTCCTCCAGCCCCAGTGTCCCCCACCCCATGATGTCCCCAGCCCCCTGTACCTGCCATACAGGACGGGCAGTTCCTCCCGCAGGTCCCTGTTGAGCTCCTCAAACACTGCTTGGGCTTTATTGAACTCCTCCTCAGCCTGCAGGGAGAGTCAGGGGGGGCATAGCTTTGTC